TGGCCTAGGTGACAGAAAAAATGCTGCATGATAGAATTTTACAGGGCCAATGACTTATTCATTACAAATATCTTTTACCAACAGCATAAATGGTAACTTTACACATGGACCTCACCAGATGAAATGCTTAGGAATCAAGTAGTGTACATCTGTGGAAAGAGACAAGAGAAGCTCAATATCACCAGTCAGAAGAAGGTCAGAGACTGACTGTGGAAAAGACCATCAAATGACCATATGCAAGTTAAAGTTGAAGCTGAAGAAAATGAAAACATGTCTACTAGAGTCGAAGTACAACCATTAGTAGTATATCTCACCTGAATTTAAACACTATTTCAGAATAGATTTGATGCATTGGGCACTAATAAGCAAAGACCAGATGAGATGTAGGATGATATAAGGGGCTTCATATATGAAGAAAGTGAAAGGTCATTAAAAACAGAAGAAAAAGAAAGTATCACAGTGGATGTCAGGATAGACTCTAATACTTGTTCTTGAATGCAGAATAGCTAAAGTGAATGGAAGAAGTGATAAAGTAAAAGAGCTGAACAGGAGATTTCAAATGGCAATTAGAGAAGACAAAGTAAAATATTACAATGAAATATATAAAAACCTGAACTTAGGAAATCAAAAAGGAACGATATAGCTTGCATTTCTTAATCTGAAAAAAATTGAAGAAAAAATTCAAGTCTCAAGAAGCAACACTGAAAGATTCTATAGACAAAAATATTGAAGAGGCACAGGAAACATCAAAAGAAGATGGAATGAATACACAGAGTCACTGTATGAAAAACAATCTGTGGATGTTCAACTGATTCAGGAAGCTGCATATGATCAAGAACCACAATATTACTGAATGAAGAAGTCCAAGGTACACTGAAGGTGTTGGCAGAAAAAAAGATTACAAGAATACCAATAGATGTTTCAACAAATAGATGCAAGGCTGGAAATACACATTTGTCTATTCCAAGAAATTTGAGAGAAAGCTACCTGGCCAACCAACTGGAAGTGATCCATATACATGTGCATTCCACAGAAAAATCATACAATGGAATGCAGAAGTTATCAAACAACAACATTAACATCACATTGCAATAAAATTACACTCATGATAATTCAAAAATGATTAAAGTAATATATCAGAAAGGAACTATCAGAAACTCAAACCAGATTCAGAAGAGAATGTGGAAAGAGGGATGTCATAGCTGATGTCAAATAGATCTTAGCTGAAAGCAGAGAACACCTGAAATATGTTACCTGTGTTTTATTGACTGTGCAAAGGCATCAGACTTTATGAATCATAACAATTTGGGGATGACATTGTGAAGAATGAGAATTCCAGAATCATTAATTATTCTCATATAGAAACTGTACAAAGACCAAGAGGCAGTCGTTCAAACAGAACAAGGGGATACTTCATGTTTTAAAAGAAGGAAAAGTCTGTGTCAGGCTTGTATACTTTCACCACACTTATCAATCTGCATGCTGATTAAATAATTCAAGAAGCCAGACAATATGATGAAAAACATGCCATCAGTATTGGAGGAAGCCTCATTAACAACCTGCAATCTGCAGATAACACAACCTTGCTTGCTGAAATTCAAATGGAATAGAAGCTTCTGGTCATGAAGATCAAAGACTATAGCTTTCAGTATGATGTTCAACTAAACATAAAAGAAAAAAAATCCTCACAACTGGACCAATAGCAAATAATGATAAACAGAGAAAATTAATATTAAAGTTGTCAAAAATTTCATTTTACTTGGATCAACTATCAATGTCCATGGATGAAACAGTCAAAAAACCAAATGATGTATTGATTAGGCAAGTCTGCTGCAAAAGATCTCTTTAAAGTATTAAAAAAATAAAGACATCACTTCAAGGACTGAAGTGCACCTGACGTAAGCCATGGTATTTGCACTCACTTCCTGTGTTTGTGAATGCTGGTAAATGAATAAGGAAGACTGGAGAAGAATTATGCTTTAAATTTATGTTGTTGGTGAAGAATATTGAATATACATCATGGATTGCCAGAAGAACAAACAAACATGTTTTGGAAGAAGTATAATCAGAATGCTCCTTAGAAGTGAGGATGCAGAAATTTCATTTCACATACTTTGGGCATGTTATCAGAAGGGACCAGTCCCTGGAAAAGTACATCATGCTTAGTAAAGTACAGGTTTAGTGAAAAAGAGAAAGACCCTCCATGGATTGGCACAGTGCTGCAACAGTGGTCTCAAACATAGCAGCAATTGTCAGGCTGGCACAAGACCATGCATTGTTTCATTCTCTAGTACAAAGGGTCACTGTGAGTCAGAACTGACTCAAGGGCACCTAAACACAACAACAAATTCAGATTGCTATAATGTTGTTTAGAGCCCAATACCAGTCTCAGAAACAGTTTCCTTGGTCATACACATGTAGAAAAGGTTATATTCTCCAGTGTTTCTTTCTCTTTGAGATTGATAATGCACTCTGGCATATAAAAAAATACTCTGCAAAGTCTTGCATACAATAAAGTAAGCTGCCTAATGGTATTTATCACAGTATGTATGTATCTCATACATGTTTATCTCCCTCTAACCATATGTTAATACTCCTCTATTAACAACTCAATGTAGCCTCTGTTAGTAGGGAAAGAGATATTCTCTTCAACCTTTGGGATTGGTATTTCCTTCTGCCATTTTGGTATAGTCAAGAGAAAATTGCGGAAGTTTCAAATTATTGTTCAAGAAAAATTACTGCTGTTACCAGTAGCATGCATACTTTGCTCCATTGGATTGACATACTTTTATCTTTTAGAAATCAGTTATAATAATGATAAAATATATGTTATAATATGACCAAAATAAGCTTAAAAGAAACATTAGTTTCATGATTCTCAAGTAGAACTAAAAGCATTGGTTTGCAAAATTTAAATATAATCATTAAGTTACTATTTATCATAATTCACTATTTATCACTAAAAATTACACAAATAAACTTAAAATAAAATTTCACAAAACAATTTTTATCTGTAATGTATGTTGTAATTTTATTTTATTAGCCTGGCTTGGAACATAGTAATCATGAATCTTGGAGATATTTACATATATGTGAAGTTCTTCTGAAAAAAATCCCAGAAAGTCTGTTTAATTGTATTTATTATTCCAAATATTTTTGGGAATTTAAAATGTTTCAGGTCATTCATTATTTTTTGTATCATGTTTTCAAAATGGTACTTACCATGTACAATGAGAACATATTCCGCGCTGCTTTGGCCAATGGTGTTTGTGGCTTCACATCGGTATGTACCATTATCCGTTTTGTTCAAGAAAAGAATGTTTAACTCCCTACCACTCACAACCATTCGGTCAGGATCTGGTAATTCTCCTCCATCCTTTGTCCACAAAACAGGTTCTGGCCTATTGGATTCAAACATACATACAGATAAGGAAAAAAAACAAAAACAAAAACCTTACATATTCTATGAATTAAGTTATTTGAGCAATTAACAAATAGCACATACTTTCTGCATAACCAAGTTCAAACTTCTGCAAGGTACTGAAAGAAGCATCATCTTCTATGCACTTCAAAAGAATTGGAGGTATGGCCAGTCTAAGTGAATTATATTCTAATTATTTAAGCAGATTTGAGTAGAGGAGGTAATTTGTTCAGTCCCTTGTATGATCATGCTGGTCCCTTTCCTACTGTTCAGATCCTACTGCTAATCATTCATGACTGCTACCTCTCTAAGGGGCGCTCTGGTGGTGTAGTGTCGAAAGCATTTGACCGCTAACCAGAAGGCTGGTGGTTCAAAGCCATCATCCAAACCTTGGAAGGAAGATAGGGGAATCTACTTCCATAGAGATACTGCTACGGAAATCCAAGGATGATGCCTGCCTTATTGGAGACCCTATCCCCAAAGAACTTGGGATTACACCCATTTGCGGCCATAATTGAGAAACAACTTTACCTAAAAATGTTGTTGTTGTTGTTATGTGCCGTCGAGTCATACCTGACTTATAGCGACCCCTCCTTGGGTTTCCGAGGCAGTATCACTACGGAAGTAGGATTGCCCAACCTTCCTTCCGAGGAGTGGCTGGTGGGTACCAGAAGTTAACTGTCTTGCTTTTCTCAGTGGTGTAAAGATTTTTTTTCTGATAGTTGTCTTTTAGTAAAATACTTCTAGAGAATGTCTATTTTGATTACTTTTAGGGAAGAAAGAGGGGTAAATGAACCATGGGAGTCTGTCTTTAAGAATTTCAGTCTTTTAAGATTATTAATGAAAAAAATATTAATAATACATACCCCCATGTATTTATAACTAGTGACTTTTCACATATTTTCTACAGTTTTCAACATATATGCTGGATATATTTTTTTTGTTGTTGTTGTTTTTGTTTGCTTGTTTTTAATTAATGCATATAAGAATACAGGTCAGAGAAATATTCAAACTCTGGTTTGATTCTGTAGTTTCATACTTCATCCACTCTCCTGCTTTCCAACAGGATAATATTATCCTAGTTCTTTTATGTTATAATTTTTTAATTTAAGCATAATATTACAACACAGTTGAAAATTATTCTAAAGAAATGCTTTGGATATTTATTTATTTGGGTAAAAATAATTTGTTTTTCTTACCTAGTGCCACTCTGACAAGAATATACCACAAATGGGATGGCCTTAACAAACAGGAGTTTATTCTTACAATTTGGAGGCTTTAAGTTCAAGTTCAAAGTGCCAGGCTCTAGGGGCTGAGTGAAAACCCCTCAGTCTTGTGCTTCAGCTCTTCCTCTTACTCCCAGCCCACTGGAGCTAGAGGCATCTCTTCACTAAGGCAGCTACTGGCTGCTGAGGCTAACAAGCCCAATGTTGACAAATAAAATGACACAGTCCCAATGTTACCAAACCACATGACAGGCCATTACTTTAAGTCCATTGTAAGTCCCAAGGTTGGCAGAGCATGGCAAGCTGCTGAACAATGACAAGGCTACATCCAGGGTCCAAGTGTGCCATAAGCTGGAGACCATTCCCAAAGCTGTTTCTTATATATGAGAAGCAGACCACATACCTAAAGGAGCTACTCAGCCGCTCTAGTACATTCCAACATGGAGTTAATTACCAATCACAACATGGGGAATAACTACATTCAGCTGCCCAGCCACTCAACAGGCCCAGCCAAGTTGACACAAAATGTAATTACCACATAATTTATTTTCTGTTATTATAAGTAAGATTAGAACATAGATTATGAAAAATGTTTCCTGTACCTACTGCATCTTTCTTGTGAAGAAAGATTTTTTTTTTTTCCCTGACAAAAATAAATAAATATTGCAAACCAGTAATAGTAAATACTGGAAAGAATATCCATGGAATACTGCCTGGGAAACCCAAGGAAGGGTCACTATGAATTGGATCCGACTGGACGGCAGTGAGTATATACAATATATATACACACACAATATATATTACCAAAATGTAGAAATCTCCATCATTCAATTATGCAGAGAACTTATTTCTATAGTATCTTAAAACTTAAAAAAAAACTTAAAAAAAAAAACCACTATTAGTACTTTCCAACTTGTTACATATATCCTACATCTGCTAATTGCTTTTAATCTATTAATTCTTGCTTTAAGCTCATATTCTGAATAATCTTGTACCAAACACATCCCTCTGGACTGGGCAGTGTTTTGTTCTTTTGTGCATAAGGTTGCTATGAATCGGCGTTGACTCAAAGGCACCTAACAACAACAAAAACAACACACATCCTTAAATCCTTTGAAAAGGCAAAATAACAACAAAACACTGTTGTTGTTGTTAGGTGACTTCAAATTGATCCAACTCATTGAAAACCTATATACAACAGAGCAAAACTCTTTCCTATCATGTGCCATCCTCACAATGCTTGAGCCAATGTTGCAGCCATTGTGCTAATCAATCTCATTGAAGGTCTTCACCTTTTTCTCTGACTCTCCACTTCACCATGCATGATATCATTCTCCAGGGACTGGTCCCTTCTCACCATATGACCAAATCATGTGAGATGGATTCTGGCCATTCTCGCTTCTAAGAAGCATTCTAGCTGCATTTCTTCTAGGATAGATTTGTTTTTCAGCAATTCATAGTATTTTCAGTATTCTTCGCTAACACCACAATTCAAAGGAATCAACTCTTCTTAGATCTTTTTTGTTCATTGTCCAGTTTTCATGTGCATGTGAGGCAACTGGAAAACAAGGAGCTCTGGTGGTATAGTGGATAAGGCACTTGGCTGCTAACAAGAAGATCAGCAGAAGGAAAATTAGGTGATCTACTTCTGTGAAGATTTACAGCCTTGGGAACCCAATGGGGGTAGATATGTGTACAAATTGACTCAATGGCAGTGAGTTTTGGTTATGGCTTGGGTTAGGCTCACTTTAATCTTCAAAGTGACTTATTTGCTATTCAACACTTTATAGAAGTATTTTGCAATAGATTTGCCTAGTGAAATATGACTTCTGATTTCTTGACCACTGCTTTCAAAAGGGTTGGTTGTAGATTCAAGTAAAATGAAATATTTGACAATTTCAAGCTTTTCTCCATTTATTGTGATGTTGTTTATTGGTCCAGTTGTGGAGATTTTCATTTTCTTTAGGTTGAGATGTAATTCATACTGGAGACGGTAAATTTTAACCTTCAACAGAAAGTGTTTCAAGTCCTCTTCACTTTCAGCAAGCAAGGTTGTATCACCTGCATATCCCAGGTTTTTAATGAGTCTTTCTCCAATCCTGATAGTGCATTCTTCTGCATATAGTCCAGTATTGGATTATTTGTTCAGCATACAGATTTAATAAGTATAGTAAAACCATACAATCCTGACACATGTCCTTCCTGATTTAAAATCATGCAGTATTCCATTCTTCTGTTCAAATGACATGTACAGCTTCCTCACGAACACAAGTAAGTGTTTTGAAATTCCCATTCTTCCCAATGTTATCCATAATTTGTCAAGATCTACACTGTTGAATGCCTTTGTATTGTCAATAAAACACAAGTGAACATCTTTCTGGTACTCTTTGCTTTCAGCCAAGATCCATCTGACATCAGCAATGATATCCCTCATTCCACATCCTCTTCTGAATCCAGTTTGGATTTCTGGAAGTTCCTTGTTAATCTACTGCTGCAAGTGCTTTTGAATTTAGGAGAAATTTACTTGTTTGTGATGTTAATTATATTATTTCATAATATCCACATTCTGTTGGATCACCTTTCTTTGAAATGGGCACAAATGGCCAGGTAACTCTCTTCAAATTTTCTTGGCATAAACGAGTAAGCATCTCAAGCACTGCATCTCTTTGTTGCAACAGCTCACTGGATATTTTGTCAATTCCTGGAGCCTTGTTTTTGCCAGTTCCTTCAATGCAGCTTGGATTTGTCCCTTTAACACCCATTGGTTCTTGGTCATATGCTACTTTCTGAAATGACAGAATGTCTATCAATTCTTTTTGATACAGTGACTCTGTGTATTCCTTCTATCTTCTTTTGATGCTCCCTACATCGTTCAATATTTTGCCCATGTGTATGCGTGTGTTATGTGCTGTAGAGTCAGACCTGACTCATAGAGACCCCTCCTTGGGTTTCCAAGGCAGTATCACTACAGAAGTAGATTGCCACATCTTCCTTCTGAGAAGTGGCTGGTGGGTTTGAACTTCCAGCCATCTGGTTAGCAGTCAAATGCCTTAGGCACTATGCCACCAGAACTCCCATAGAATCCTTCAATATTGCAATTCAAGGCTTAAATTTCATTTTCAATTCTTTCCACTTGAGGAATGCTGGAAAATGTTCTTCCCATTTGGTTTTCTAACTCCAGGTCTTTGCATATTTCATTAGAATACTTGACTTTTTCTTCTCAAGCTGCCCCTTGAACTCTGTTTAACTCTTTTATTTCAATATTTCTTCCTTTTGTTTAACTACTCTACATTCAAGAGAAAGTTTCAGAGTCTCTTCTGATACCTATTTTGGTCTTTTTCTTTCCTATCTTTTTAATGACCTTTTGCTTTCTTTATGCATGATGTTCTTGATGTCATCTCACAACTCATTTTGTCTTTGGTCACTGGCATTCAATGCATCAAATCTATTCTTAAAATAGTCTATAAATTCAGATGGGATATACTCCAGGTCTTATTTTGGTTCTCTTGGATGTGTTTTAATTTTTTTCAGCTTCAACTAGAATTTGCATATGAGCAATTTATGGTTTGTTCCGCAGTCAGCTTCTGTCCTTGTTTTGAGTGATGATATTGAGCTTCTCCATTGCCTCTTCCACAGATGTTGTTGACCTCATTCCTGTGTATTCCATCTGGTGAAGTCTGCATGTATAGCTGCTCTTAATAGTTGAAAAAAAAAAAGATATTTGCAATGAATAAGTTGTTAGTCTTGCAAAATT